ACTGGCTCTGTTACTACAATAACAATGTCATTAATAAAGATTAAAAACAGGAGTACTCCCAGTACACTAACTTGTGGTATTCCTGAGGTAACTGGCAGACAACGCGAGCAGTGGCCATTAATAGAAACCGGTTGGGTGCGTTTGTTGAAAGAGGGGAGGCCAATGTATTTTAGTTTGTAAAAGTAACTTTTCATGTGAAACGAGGTCAAACGCTTTTTTGAAATCTAAAAAAATTACGTCAGTTTGTCCAAGTTTGTCAGAATGCTTGCAAAATTGTGAACTACAGTTGTTAGTTGCATAATCGTATAAAAACCCTTTTTGAAGCCGTGCTAAAATGAAGAAAGAATGTTGTTGTCTGTCAAAAATTTAATTATGTAATTTACGACAAAATTTTCAAGTATCTTACAGCAGGAAGAAGTGAGCGAGATTGGACGATAGTTTGTAATTAGCGTAGTGTCCCCTTTTTTGTGTACGGGCACCACACGTACCATTCGCCAGTCTACCGGTAGCTCTGAAGATGATAACGATGTACGGAAAATGTATGCGAGGAATGGGGCGAGTGCTTCAGCATAGCGACGAATGAAGGTCAGGAGGACCAGGTAATGCTTTGTCTTTAGGTTAAGAAACATAGTGACAGTACCTGGTTGCGATACATTACTCTCGTAGTCTGTGGAAAAAACAGGGTCAAGAATGAATGTTTTTGATGGAACAGAGCACACAATATGAAAATAGATATTGAAATGTTCCACAATGGCATCCTCGTCATCAATTTGAATACCATCGATTCAATTATCACTAACATTTTTTTTTTTTCGATTCAAGATGTCCCAGAACTTCTGAGAGGACTCCTTTAGAAAATTTGGTAAACTTTGCTGAAAATAATGCCACTTAGACCATTTTAATGTTCCACTAAGGGTAATTATAGCAGCATCAACTATGTTTGTAGAAGCTCTTCTTTTTCAGGTGCTTAAAGGGCCACTCACCAGGTTTGACGATTTTGAGCTGACAAGCGCAATGCGTAGACGAGGCGTTCATGATCACGTCTGCCGAAATTTGCAACGCTACGCGCTGCGAAAAGGGGTAAAATTTCAAGATCAAAGCTGCTCCCTCTCCCCTCTGCCGGTGCATGCGTAGAGAATGAGGACACGACGTGGGCGTTGGAATGGCCCTACGTACACGGCAATGCAGTGACGTTGGTCCTCTACGTAGACGAGTCTGCTCTGACGTTGTCAATAGTATACCACGTGACATGGCAAAAATTATTTAACACAGCATGCGTAGTTTATGTATTTGTTGCTTTAAGAGATTAATAAAACTTAATATAAATAATGAGACACAATAAAAAAATTGTGCGCGTTTTTCTTTCATTTTTTCTCTTGAAATGCTACGAGATGCGGGGCTAATGTGCCAGCGTTTCACATGCGTTCATGTCCCCGTGGTCAGCGCATTGAAAAGATGACCACCGTGGAACGCTCCTACGCGTTCGCGCACTCATTGTGCTCATCAACTGTACCGCGTCTAAGCCAGCGTTTTCAAACCATCTCACAGAAACAGGCAGAAAACCACAAGATAACGCTGGTCAACAAAGCAACGCTGCTCGCATGCTTGGGCGTTGGACTTGTTTGGGCATGTCATGCGCACGTCACCTCATGGTGGGATGCTGGAGACGGTGGGGAAGATATTTGGCTTGCGAAGGCTACACGAAGGAGCGGCAAGGGTTTCGAGCTCGCCTCCTCCCATTCTCCTTTCGCGCCGCTTCAAAAAAACCTGTTTTCTCCGCTCGTGATGAACCGATTCCAAAAATTTTTGTGGCAAAATGTTCCTTATTTGACACCCAACGAATTTCACTGTCTAACTAAAATTGGGTATGGGGCTTGGTGAGTGGCCCTTTAAGCTTCCTCTTTAAGTGAAAGACCTTTCTCATAATCCAGGGATTCAATTTTTTAGTTTTTTGTTTTATTAGATAGGAAATTATCAAGAGAATAAGTGTACATCTGTTTGAATTGAGTCTAGAGATTAACATCTGAACCATGGAAGCTCATTACACCGACGTGTTTTTCTATGCTTTTTCTGTCCTTTTGTAATACAGCCAAAACCCGCAATAACGAAATCTCCGGGGAAATTGAAAAATTTCGTTTTCCCGAGAATTTCGCTTCCGCGAGTATGAGACATAAAAACAGTGATACGGCCAGCAGAACAAAAATTTATTGCCAGAAGTCGGTCAACTTATACTTTGCCGACCCTTGCCATGCAACAACTTCAAAGCTCTTCCTTTGCACTGGAAAAAGTGGTCCATTGCTACGTCGTCGTCATGTGCGCCGAAGAAGGAGCGAAGGGTGTCCAGCGCATCCAAAACAACCCGCGGGTTGGGTTTCTCCACGTGCGTCTCGTTATCTCCATGTGCGCCATTATCAAGCGCAGCAAGAATGGCATCTTTGCCCTTCAATATGGTCGAAAGTGAGCTGCACGCAATTTCATACTCTTCGGCAATATCCTTCTTCCCGCTCTTTTCAACTTCGGCACGGATGGCAGCCTTATCTTGAAGCGACAGAAACTTCCGCTTTTTGGCTGGCAGGGCATCTTAGCAAGAGCCCATGTGCCGGAAGCCACCCACAGCACTTTCTAGCCACACAACTTGCGGCGCTCACATGTGTGAGGCTATGAAAGTGATGAAATGACGGAAGCAATGCAGGATGGGATTGTCTCGCCCCCTAATGGTGTCGCTGCAAGGCTGCTTAACATCATGATGATATTGTTGCCGTTCTTTTCTTTTTCTACGATCAACGGGGAATCCGCTTCCGGCATCAAGCTTTTCTCAGGCACCATTGTAACTTCATCTCGATTTCGCCACCAGTTCCAGTCTTCTCTTCGTCGTTTTGATTGATTCCAACTGTTGGTGTTGCTTCGGCCTGTTGAGCTCGTCCAACGGCGCCATCTGCACTGCAGCATGGTCATTTGCCATCGGCTGCTGTAGTGTGGCCAGGCATGTTGCTGGACACAGACCCCATCGCCGATTTAAGTAAACGAAAATGGCGGTACCCACGCTAGCGCGGCAAAAGCAGACGTTCACAAATTTTGAGTGTGCATAACACGCATACAAGCATATTTTCGACAGTTAACCTTTGCCGGGAGAATAAAATAAGGCCCGCACCGTGGTAGAAAATTCGTTAATGTGGGATCGCTGTCCAAAAACATTTCGTTGCCGTGAGATACGTAATACATGAGCTTCTATGAACGTTCGCCTGGGATCAGGAAATATTTCGTTGCCGCGAGATACGTAATACATGGGCTTCTATGAACGTTCGCCAGGGATCCGGAAATATTTCGTTGCCATGGGGATTTTGTATTTGCGGGGTTTCGTTATTGCGAGTTTCAATTGTAATAGCCGTTTGTGTCCAAAATTGCATAGTATCAAAATAACACTACACCTAAATTATTTTAATCAAGAAAAAAAATTCAAGAATATGAGCATATTTTTCTAAGCATTGTACTACCTAGCACGATGGCATTCATCCACTCATTACACTGATGGACGAGCTATTAGAAACAGTACGAAGAGGACAACACGTGTGTACATAGCTAAATAATGCTATTGCACAATTTAGTTTAGTGTTCACTAAATGCAGTACCTGCCCCAACTGCATTTGCCCCTCAACTTTTGTGATGCGGTGTTAAGTCTGCTTCAAACCTGCACGAAAAGGTTTTTCTGATGGCTCCAAGTCTGCTCCCGAACTTGTTTCTGCCTGCTCCAAGCCTGCTTGAAAAGGCACTTTTGACTGCTCCCAAACTTATGTGCCTTGTTCCACCCCTGCAGTGCATAATGTGACTTGGTAAATGCAGGTATATTTTTAAAATTCAGTTTTGTACGTGTTGTAGTGTACACATATCCCGAAGAAGTATGGCCACTAGCATGGGTCCGGTATTGGCGAGGGGCAGGGCACGCATTAACCATCGTCCTGGCAAGAACACAATACTGCTCAAGGTCGAAACACTTTATTGCTTGCGGAAACACTAAAAACGTTGTACAGAGTCCGTTGCAACGGGGGCGGCGGGAAAGCAAATGGTCCTATCCACTCCACAGGCCAGTACTACTACACAGGGTGCCACGAGCACATCTCCTTGGGCAAAAGTAATTCATGGTGACACCGGGACAAAGGGCCCCGGTCGCTCGAGCGAGGGCAAAACTCTGCTCGCATTGGCTTTGAGAGATCAAGTTGGCGTAGTATGACCATGCACTAGGACACCGCACCGCTCTTCGGCCTAGCGTTCAAAAGGGCGCGGTTGGCGAAGTTCGAGGAGCCCCAAACAATAATGTGTACGGACGGAAAAGAAATGCGTGCTCACCCTAAGTCGTCCCGAAAAGATCTGATTCACTCCCTGTTGCGCGCCCGCGAAACGTCCCGAGAGACTCCGTGAGCGGCACCAGAGTCGACATCCGCTACTGGGTGAGATGGGCTAATCATCACTCCACTCCCCCAGTGCGACAGATCACGGAGGAGGGGAATGTCATGTCGAGACATGAGAATGGCAAAAATAAGTGGCAAAGCCTGCACACTGGTGGCGGGCTAACCTCAATTCCCACTGTCATATGCATGCACAGGTTGTTGCACACTTTTGTGTACTGGTCACTGCTTTAAACCATGGCTTCTGTGCTCAGAATGGAAAGATTTCGTACTCCGAAAGCTAGTTCCATTTCTAAATATAAGAGCTTATGACTACCAGTTTCGGGAGCTTTTTTGGCTAAAGGGAAGCGGCAGCACATTAAAAAAAAGAAGTGTTTAAGCTCGGTAAAAAAAAGAAGTGTTTAAGCTCGGTTCAAAAACCTGATGCATCTAATGATGCTTTGTTGTTGTTTGCTTAATTGTAAGCATGAATGCAGTTCATAGTACTGCACATTTTATGATGTTGTGACTTGATTTGTTGTTATGCAGTTCATGTGGAATTAGCCAAATTGCTTATATTGTTTCTTAAGTCTTGTTTTTTTTTAAATTTTATTTCAGCCCATCCGTCCTGTCTGAAGCACAGTAAGGAGCTAGTGCTGGTTCTTGTCAGTCCCAGAAAGTGGCAGTGTTCCCAGTGCAGGATGTGCTCTCGTTGTGGCAACAAGAAAGAGGGGGTAAGTGGTTAGCTTTACTTATTGTACAATGTACTCTCAGTAATCAGAAAGCAGAAATCTGTTATAACGAACGGCTGCCAAAATAGAGCAAGTGCTTCTGACACCATTGGTTTGATTCTTTCATTCTGCACCCCTGCTCATCTCTTGGTAAACGGAACATATTTGCCGGGTCCTTTCTAGTTCCTACTAATGAGAGTTTACTGTGTAGTGCGCTTTAGTTTTTTGTTCCTCTTTTCTTGGTGACTTGATAATCTGCAGTTCAGCCCATTTTCTCATTTGCTAGTTGAAGATTAGGTATGCACTTTAGGTACCAGTTAAGGTGAATATAAAAAGCCTGGTAAGCATAATTATTATTTCAGTGCACAGGAAACCATTAGCAATTTATTCTTTAAAGTAGTTTATCTGTCAACTCTGTGCATTGTGACTAGATGACAAGTTGGTCAAGTTGGTTAGGATTGATCTTGAACCAGTGTTGTTTTTGGAGTAAAGCACAATTGTTTGATGGGTGGCATGTTTCTTGTGCTTGTCTTGCAGGAACACTTATTGTGTTGTGAAGTCTGTGATTCGCATTTTCATCTTCGATGCCTGAAGCCTCCCTTGCTCAAGGCACCGAAAGGTATTGACACCGTCGTGCTTATGATGACTGCAGTACACAATATGTGATCGTGATCAGTAAAATTCATTTGGAAGCCTTACAAGTGTTGTGCATACGTGATTTGGCATAAGTTGATTTTCGGTTACTCAATGCTGTAACTTGTGTACTTGGGCATAGCAGCGGCAGGGGCATCATTCTGCAATTGGCCTGCGGTGGTTGTATTCCAAAAGGATATTGGGTGCTTGGTGTGATTTCTTCTTTAATACGGTCACAAGAGGGACTTTTAACTTAACGTCACTTATTTTTGTCTGCCTTGAGTTCCATAACTTGTTTCTAAAATGATGTCGACGAGTGTTTTTGCATTTGATCTCTATGAAGTAAGGCTGCCACAGCCAAGGTCAAACCAGCAACCTGAGGCAAAGCAGTGCAATACCATAGCTACTGTGCTGCCACTGCAAGTAGTTGTTTCCTGTTTATCACTTTTAGAGTGTATTGGTTGCATTCGACCATGAAATTTTGGACATGGCATTTTTTAGTGTCAGTTAAATCTATTTCTCAGTGTCGGAACAGACCATAAAAAAAGGGGGGGGGGGGGGTGAAATTTTTAATAGAACGAAAATGTAACCGAATTATCCATTATTTTATTGCAGAGTGGCAACGGAATTTTTTCAATAATTTTTTGGCTCGTGTGGAAACTTGGCCATCAGAAATAACCAAGATTATGCAATGTGAGCAATAATGCCCATCTGAGAGTACAGTACTCGCACATATTACAGGCAGGAATTCCAAAGTAAAGGTTTATGAAATTGTGCGAAAAAACAAAAACAGTGGCAACCAGGGATCTTTATATTAAGACCAGTGGACCTTCATGTAACTGGCCAGTATGGGAGGGCATTCTCGGCGCAGAAGTTTGTTTTGTATGAACAGTGGTTTCGCATATCAGAAGTATGCTCGATGATGGGTTGCTCCAGAGATTGCGCTTACTCCCTTGATGGAAAGCATTAAGATGGTAGGCCACTCAAAAACAAAAATTTTTTTAAGGGCAGGCAGCGTTAAAATAACTTTTTCCTCAAAACCAGCATGTCTTATTTAATTTACCCAGCTATTTACAGTGCAAAAAATTGAATATTTATTCATTGGGAGGTAATCTTTGTCAAAAATTGCATTAAAAGTGCTAGCCACGCCAGCTGTGATAAGTGACTAATGGGTGGCTTTATTCAGTAAAGATTTGACATTTGTGTAACTAATGGCTGGAGCTATGCAGTGAACTAGAATAAATATTATGCAGTGAATATCAAGGAAGTAATGCTAAAAAAAAAAACAAAAAAAAAAAAAAACCGGGAAAAAGAGCCAATTTAAACTGAACCTGTTGGAGAATTCAGCTGTGAACTGAAAAATATTCGATGAATTTCTTTTATTCTAGTTCACTGCACAGATATATATGTTGTAAATTATTGTGCAAAATTTCAGTTCAAAGTATACGCTGAGAAATACGTTATGAAAGTTTGCGTCGCAACATTTGGAGCAAATTGTTATTTTCAGAAAAACGTAAACAAAGATTTCCGAGCTTGTAAAAAGGGTCACAATCTTCGCATGCAGGCCTAAAATGCACCAGATTCATAGCTGGGCCCTTCTGCGGAAGCATTATTGTCTACTTTTGTTCGGGTGGCTGCTCGTCTTTTCTTCCTGGCTTGTTTTGTCCCATCCGCTGACTTGTGTTTAGCATTCTGCATGCGCAGGTGATCCCTGGCGATGCAAGCTTTCGTCGTATGGTACCTTGGTTCTATGCCAGCTTGCCTCAGGATATCTAGGGTGCTTACACTGGCATTATTAAAGTGTGCCAAAGCATGATGCAAGGCAAACATTACTGTAGGCAAGCTTACGTAGACCTCTTTGGGTGCCCGCTGCCATATTAGACCATTCAAACACTCATTAGCATTTTGAGTCTTTCCATGAAGGCACTTCATTAGAAGTTCATCAGAGCACAGATCACTGTAGACAGTTTTAACTTTGTTGAGCACATCATTTGGAAGTCCTACTTTGTGTGCATATTTCCCTTGGCCGAGTGCTTTGACCCTTTGGTATCCGCACCAGCTTTTCGGTCCAAGTGGACACAGGCCATGTCTCAGCTGCTTGTCGGTAGAGCTGCAATGAAAAAGACTGGCAAGGGTGGCCTTTTTCATTGCAGAAAAGTTGCCCACATTAGCCCTTATGGCGATGCCATAGTAAGTTTGCAGGCGGTCAATGATTGCATCAGTGAGCTTTCCCTTACCACCGAGTCCACGCACTGTCTTCTTCAGTTTTCTGACGCGGCAGCCAACATGCTTCAGAACATGCCCAATACATTCCAGTTTCTGCACACTGTCCTTTCCATACATGTCTTCGACAGTGGCATAGCTCTTGGAATCATCATCGCCCTAGTACTGCAGGTACTTAAAATCTCTTTTTTCCTTTCGACCTTTCAAATATTCGGTATAGACCAACCGTCTCCATACTGCCAGCACTTCCTTCATGGTTTGCTTGACAGGAAGTGTGGTTTGCCTTCCATTCCTGGTACGAAGCATTATCTTGCCTCAACTTGCTTTTGGTTTTAGAAGACAACCGTTCAAAGATGAATGGCCACGCTTCTGCCACGTGCCGTCACCTGAAACACCACACTCGGCACTCTCCACAACACGACGAACTTCCATAGCAGCATCAGTCATCGACTTCGACGCCACTTCTCCTGCCGCTGCAGAAAGCCGAGATGACGATTTGTCGTAGACGGAGTGACGTGGAGGAGCAGGCATGTTCATCACTTTGGAAAAAAGTTTTCGCACCAGCGTGCCCTTTTCCTAACTGGCGCATCGCGTAAACCAGACGTAAATTGTTCTCATTGGCACGACTCACCTTTCTCGACGCATGAAATGGGCGCTTGAACCCACAGTCGGTACACACGACCGCACAAGCTGAGCATATCCCTTGGTGAGAGTGTTCCTCGAGCTTCAGTGTTGTGTTCATGCATTCGGAACATGCCAGCAATGAAAACACTGAAGAAAGAATACCAATGTTCATTATCCTGTCCCCTTGGAGCGCAGAATTCTATAGTGGAGCCTGGTAAGCCTTGTTTATGTCCCCAAGCTTCTTCGCCGTCGCCGAAATACCGGCGTCTGTGTCAGTAGGCAGCCTCGTTGTCGTGTAGCGATTTCCAGCAAACTTGCGCTTCCTCGTCTTCTGTTTCGCCTCGTCGTCGTGTAGCGATTTCCAGCAAACTTGCGCTTCCTCGTCTTCTGTGTTCTGCACTTCCCCATGCTGGTCGTAATATGGTCCAGGTGGCCGAAGGATACAGCCCTAGTAGCGTTGAATCGTGGAACAAATGCAGAACGAAGCCTGACGTAGCTTGACCAAGGCAAACAACAAAAATTCCGACGAGCATCGTGCGTCCCCCTTGTGGCTGTTGTTAGAGACTAACGAAGACTTTTAAACACAAAGTTGTATTTAATGACACTATCTTGTATAACATCACAATAAAATGCATAAAGTATTTTGAATAGCATTAATATAGACGAAACAACACTTGCTTTTGAAAGCGATTTTTTGAAACCAAAACCACAGTTGGAAATGTGGTTTCGGTTTTGCTATAGGAGCATAGGGTATAGAAAACTTGCTGTAACTCGCAAACTAATGACGCTAGGAGGATAATTTTTGTTGCAACATATATGTGAATGTTTGGGCGTGCAAGAAAAACAAAACCCTAAAAATTTATTTTGCGAAAAAAAAAATGACTTTTGAAAGTGGCTTACCACCTTAAGCCTGCTAAAAAAATTCTTTCAATTTTGAAACATTCACTTCTTACAAAATCTACTACTATAACTTGGAAGGGTGATGGTTTGTGCTGATTTGAAAGTATGATTTTGAAAATATCAGTTATTTGTGCTCCTCTATAGAATGTGAGAACGTGTTTTACCCCTGCCTCATTTTAAGAAGAATGTACGTAACTGTGTGAAAGATTCATGCAAATAAATAACGTTACGAACCGTCAAGGAACATTTTTTTTGTTCCAGAACAGAAATGTAGTGCAACTTCTGGTGTTGGAATGAAACTATAAAACTGAAATGAAAAATGTTTCATACCCACACCCTGATTAAAAGTAGCTATTACAAGAAATTTTGTTTGAATAATCTAGTGGGTGAGTGACAAAGTGCTCGAAAACAAATAGCTTTCTAAAAACATTGGGATATTTGCCTAAAAAAGGGTTGGATAGGCTGGTTGACAGGCTATACTTGGTGGCGGGAGCACTAAGCTGAAGACAGTAGATGCAGGGACAGTGATGGAAATGAGTGGAAACTGTGAGACTAGGGCTCAAATTTGTCTGTCACTGTGTCTGTCATAGCCCTCACCATCAAGCTGTTTGCTTGCATTGACAAGCACCAATCAATGATTTTTCTGTAGGACCTTGGAAGTGTACATCTTGCTCAAGCCAGAGGCTGAAGAGCATCAACTTTGTAAATAACTTGGCATCAAAAATCAAGCAGAAAAACAAACGATTTCACAATGGCATGATGCGGAAACAGAAGATTACCACACTGTAAGTATGGCCTATATTTCTGTATTGTCTCCTTCTTCATACATGTTGGTCAAAATGCTTGCCTGCTTCTTGTCTTCTACATACTGTCTGTGATACCTCACAGTGAAAAGGCAACCACAGATGGTCTGAACGTTCGTTGCTCTAAGTTTCACAACAGGTATGTATGTAGCCGGCGTCATGTTGTGCTCCCCTGCCATTAGTGCTTTAGGGCTTTGTTTGTATAGACACATTGCATACTATTACAGTGATGGAAGCGCTGCTCCAAAAAAGAAATCTGGCTACATACTGCTCCAAACCTTCTCTGAAACATTGTTGAGAAAATGTAGATGACTTTCTCTAACCGTGTGACCAATGCGCATACCCCAAATAAACCGAAAACCATCTGTATACTGTCACTCTAGTATGCTAGTATGCAGCTTTACCTACTCCTGATTTCATTTATGTAACCGGAACTGTCATATCTAGCATGTAGCTCATATTGGCTTTGTGTGTTTTTTCATTTTGACATGCTTCTGCATGGCAAGTTATTTTGGTGAAATGTGAAAATTACTAAGATTGCTTGTTTTTCATTTTGACATGCTTCTGCAATGCAAGTTATTTTGGTGAAATGTGAAAATTACTGAGATTGCTTTTATCTCATAACTATTATCAACTGCTGTTTTGGCAAGTTACATGTGACTGTGGTTACGTCTGTTATGGGGTGCAAGTGTATGCGAGCTTTACTGGTTTGATCTCATTTCTGCTATAAGTACTGGTATTTTAGATACTAAACAGCTCATTTCATGGTGCACTCAATAACTAACCATCTTTTTTATGATTGTTTCTTGCAATTCACATTGATTGCTCTGTAAAAACTTGTGTTAATACCAGGGGTGGAACAGCTGCGCCATTTGTGGCATTGAGTGCCAAACTCGCTGACCTGTGCCATCCTGCGCCGAACCAGCTCTGTTGTGCCAAACTGGCCTATCAATGCTGTACTGCGCCGCAGCACCAGAATTCAGCCACAAAATGCCAAAGCCATCAAGCGTCGTGCTTGGAAACCTGGCTGAAACATTGTCTCTATTGTTTGATTGAAACGTTTATAGTTTCGTAAAGGTTGTCATCGCTCCAGGAGCAGATGTGAACTTTGATCCTAAGGGCATGGTCGCGATCGCTATGCGCGCATGATCACGGCAGGTATCAGCGTGAATATCTTGGGAACCTTTTTCACATGCTGAGCTCTCAGTTCGAAGAGACGGCGAGAAGAGCATGTCTCCCCATTTTTTAGAGTAGTTAGCGGCCAGCCTTACAACTTGTTGCAAACGGATTTCTTGCTTCGCCGTTCCGGTGAAACTGTTTTTTATAGCATGATAGGAGGTTCGGAAAAGAAATCGAGGATAGCATTAACGGCACTCAAAAGAAGGGGGGTGCTGTCTGTTTCCTAGAACAGCCTATCAAAGACAGGTGGGTGCACCATGCACATGACTGCTCATCGGGCGTATGCACATATTCACGTTCATTTGGCCACTGGGCTTTGTGCCTATCGACTCGGCGGTTCAGGATTGCGCGTTCAAGTAAAAAACAAGAAAATAATCGTGGGCGGTTGTACATATCTAAGAGCGTCGCAGCTGCACTGCAAGTGTGGAGCAATGAATGCGATAGCAGCAAATTGTAAGGTTATACGAAGTGTGACTGGCAACTAACTTATTTAGTTCCGATCTCATGTAACTGTACAAAGCACTGGTGTACAAGAACATGACCACTTCAAGGAGAGCAACACTTTTTGCGCATTCTCTTCATGATGAGAGTGCAGCACGTGCAAGTGTATGCGAATCGCCTGCTGATGGCTGCCAAGCTACCGTGCGCACCAGCGACCACAGCCTTAGAAACAAAGTTCACTGTTGTTGCTCAAACGACCCCCGCTTGTTTTCGCGAGAAGTTCTTCCTTCTGCTTTTACTACAGGCATCTTGGGCGGGGCTGTCAGATGCTATCGCACGCGCCCTCCGAGCAGCGGAGATGGGCCGTATTGTTTGACCTCTGCGTCAGCCGTGTTCGCCGCCCCGCTCGCGTGCTTTTTGTTATGTTATTAATTTGGAATTTATACGGAACGTGACGGCAATGGGGGGCAAAAACCCATTGAGATTGTCCATGTAATTTCTATCGCAATAATGAGGCTATTGCACAGTTTTAGCTGAGCGTTTCAAGTAAAGAAATGCAACTTTACAAGTACGTTGAACAGGGCTAAATCTGCTCTGAATGTTCTTGCTGCTCTAAACTTGCTCGAAAATGTCCTCCTGGCCAGCCTGCTCCAAAAGTCTTTCTGGCTGCTCCAAGTCTGCTACAAAAAGCACTTATGTCTGCTCCCAGGGCTTCTCCCAAACTCATGTACCCTGTTTCACCCCTGTAATATTTAAGATGCTTTGGCAATGAATGTTTTGAACCCAGGAGTTCTAAGGCATATTCTGCCATTTGCTGCTAAAACATTATTAGCTGCTCCCAGATATTAGTTTTTCTGCTCTGAAAACATTTATGGCTGCTTTCAAGAGGTACTTTTTCTGCTCAGAAATCTGCTCCAAAAAGTAAAGTCACTTCCATCATTCCCAGCAGTGAGTGTTAATCTGCATTGTGCTGTATTCGGCCTAAATTATGCATGTGACATTTTGGTTTTGCATATCTCCTTAAACTTGTCTTGTATATAAATCAAATAAATAAACAAAGGCAAGTCGGATGAGGGCCAAATATGCGAGTAAAAGTTTTTTTTTGAAAAATGAAGGTGACATTTTTAAGGTCCACAGATTATGCAAGTAAATGTATACTTACTTTTCAATTGTGTAAAGCAGCTGCCTCATTTTTTTGCTGAAATGCAGTCACACATAAATTTGATAAGATGAAGTGGTGTACAAAAATGGTGCCTGTTTTATTATTATATTAATGAATATACTTTTAATGACTAAGTAAGTATTTCATGAATCTGCACATGGCTTTCCGGTTTTTCTTTTTGTTTTTCTGAATGGGTCACGGCCTGTCTTGTTGTTTGTTAAATTCTTTGTAAGTGTCTATTTTTTCAAACAGTGGCAGCTGTATGGTAAATTTTTTTTGTTTATGGTTAGGACTGAATGTCTGTGAAGGAATCAAGTTTCATTATTTAGCAAATTGGGCCTGTTAAACATTTATATGATGCCCATTCATTTGTTTAGCTAGATGTTTTTGTGTCTATTCTTGATGTAAATCATTTTGTTGTTGCTCACTTACTTTTCGTGCACTTCTGACACCAGGAAAGAAGGGAAGCTGGCAGCACCACTGAGAGCTAGGCCGCCTGCAGACTCTCCTAGTACATCAAGGCCTTCATCAAAAAAGGAATCTTCAAAGCCGACACGTGAGAGCAATTTTTGTCACTCACTCTACAAAACTATGCCACCCTAATGCATTATTTGCAGATATTGTGTGTGTTCAACACTCAGAATTATCAACCAGACTTTAAAAAAGGACAACTTATAGGTTGCATAATTATAAATATCTAATGAGGAAAACAAATATTTGCATACCTGCAAACTTGGCGACCTTGAAATCCGGAAGATACTTGAAGTGGGGAAGGGGATGCAGCAGGGGAGGCGGGAGAACCTGGTTTACTTATGAATTTACCGTTTCTCAGGGGCCACAGCAATGTCATGAATGAAAGATTGGCAGTAAAGCCTGTAGACAACAGCAATTATACTGGTGCATGTAATTTTTTTATGGCATGTGTGTGTATGTGCAATTAACCCTTCGAAACCCTTGCCCACCTTCATTTGGTGCGAAACACAAACTCAAAACTCGTGTAAAGTTTGTTCGCTTACTTTTTTTACAGATAGCACATAATGTAGTGAGAAAACGCACACATGAATCAACTGCGAAAGAACTTGTCCAGCAAAGGCTGAAAACGGCCACAATGGCTCAAGGGAATGGGTTAAAGGGGCACTGACAAAATTTGAAACTCGAGAAATGTGTTCTTCATTCTGTGGCTCGGTATGCAAAAGTATTTTTGACCTAATTTGGGTGGTGTGCATAACCCTGAATTTTGTTCTTATTTCGAGGGCAAGAAGCGCACTTAAATTCGAAGGTTTTTTATCACCGTGCATCGACACTACTGTGACGTGTTTGGTGTGGTGCATATGATCCCGAGTGACAATGCACTAGCAATCAGGAGGTTGACGAGCTGAGTGTTATCATCGCGATGTCTGGCGCCAATGACCGCAAACGCTCTCTCTTCATGCCCGATCCTTGTCGGGGCGCTTTTGATTATATGAAATTACAAGACGCAAACTATCAAAACAAGAGAGCTGAAAGGAAAAATCATTATTCAATGTGCGCTCGTCAGCTAGCATGTGAGGGAACTGTTCTGAATTGCAGTTGTGTGATTGGAAGGCCGGAAAAAGTGGAACGAGTGTTCCATTTCATTGCACGTGTGGTACGTGCCAACACAACCAAAAGCTATCAAAGTGGATCTGTGTGTAAGTATCGTTGGTGACAGGAAACATGCAGGTAGCACTAATAGTAAGTTTTTAGTGTGTCTGTAGACCTTGAACTTGCCTGATGATAGCCTAATGCTAAGTGAAGGTGAGAGGCCGATAGATGAGGCCACCTGGCAGCTCAAAGAACCCAGTAAGCACAGAATTGTTATGGTAGAAACAGCATATTTCATTTCTCCATTGGTGTGCATTCACTGTATCTATAGCCCACAGACCCCATTGCGTATACCAGAATATCGTGCACGCTGAAATTCTCTAGTAGAGCTAATTGAAAGACATCAGTGACCATGGCCCAAGTGTGCATCCCCGCCCACCTACTTGTTCTGGCTTAGAACGCTGTGAATAGCTGTTTTTTCCAAAGGGTTGAAGAAAAAATAACTAGCGCCGTCACGAATCACAACGGTTCCAAGTTCGAGATTGTCGTCTTCAACACTGGTCGACACATTTGACGATGACAGCGATGCTGGTGTTTCGGCATCACTGAACGTGTGTGCCTAGCAGATGAAGTGCGAGCGCAGCAGTCAGGATCAGCTGAGCCTGACGTCACTCCTTTCTGTGGAAAGAGGTCAGCCAGGGTGCGCTCTAGAGGTGCCATATACCGTAATTACTCGAATCTAACGCGCACCTTTTTTCCGGTTAAGCGAGTTCATAAATCACATGCACGTTAGAATCGAGTACGAAAAAAAAAAAAAAATGAATACGGTCATTCTATTGCCATCGGCATTTCCAAAATGGCCGCCCCCTACGTGCATCGGCATGGCACGACGGCCATTTCTGCCTATGTGTTTCCCATGTGCGGCACTTCGTACGTGTGCTGAGGAGTCATCTTGTAGTGCATTAGCATCGACGGCATAGAAGGGCCGACTCCAAAAACTCAAGTGCACCACGATGCCGCTTTTAAAAGAAAAGTCATCGCGGGTGCAGAAATGGACGGAAATTGGGCTGCATCGCGGTCGTTCGGAGTTTCTGAAACGTGCGTGCGGGACTGGCGGAAACAAAAGCAGAAGATTGTCGACAGAAAAGATTCACGCAAAGGCTTCACTGGACCACAGCAGGGTCGGTTTTCGCAAATTGAAGAGCTGCTCGGCGAGTATGTGCTTGAGGAGCGAGGAGCACAGCGGCCCGTGACGACAGAACTGCTCCAAGTGCGAGCTATGCAGTTAGCCTTAGAATAGAAAAAGGGCTAATGCGGAGCCAGTTTAAAGCGAGCAGGTGCTGGCTAACTAACTTTATGAAGAGGAAAAGCTTTTCCCTCCGAAGGTGAACGGGCATATGTGAAAAGTTTCGAGAGGAGTACGATAAAAAGCTTCACAGTTTTCAGAGGTTCGTCCTAAACTTGTGGCACAACAACGGCTATCTGCTTGGGCAAATCGGGAATGCCGATCAGACGCCTCTTTACTTGGACATGCCTAGCACCACAACCGTCGAGAAGAAGGGGGCGAAGCAAGTTCGCGTGCTGACATCGGTCCACGATAAAACTGCAGTGACGGCTATGCTCTGTTACACGTCAGTTGGGCACAAGCTTCCCCCGTACCTCATATTTAATTGGAAGACGCTCCCGAAAGGAGTTCTTTTTTCGAGTGGTGTGATCGTGCGGGCCAGCGAGAAAAATGGGTGCGCGTTGCAATTGATGTCTTACTTTTTTTTTTTGTCGTGGAAATCGGGTGCGCGTTACAATCGGGTGCGCGTTACAATCGAGGGCGTGGTAGAATCGAGTAAATATGGTATATGATTATTCTCAATCTAGATTTCGCCGCAAATCTGCAAAATTGCGGTCGCGGGATCGAATCCCGGCTGCGGCGGCTGCATTTCCGATGGAGGTGGAAATATTGTAGGCCCGTGTGCTCAGATCTGGGTGCACGTTAAAGAACCCCAGTTGGTCGACATTTCCGGAGCCCTCCGCTACGGCGTCTCTCATAATCATGTGGTGGTTTTGGGATGTTGAACCCCACATATCAATCTATAAATGATTGATTTGATTCTCATAATCATATGGTGGTTTTGGGATGTTGAACCCCACATATCAATCTATAAATGATTGATTTGATGGGGCGGTACTGTGCTTCACTGGAATGGCGTGTGTTCATCACGAATGTAGCTCAATGCACTCATGAGCTAACGGCCGTTGCTTAACAAATGAAAAGGCCCAACTTGTGAGCGGAGGGGTTGCTTGCACTTTTAAGGGGGGAAACGCGGCTTTGGGATAGCGAAAAATGGCAAAAATATCGATTTTTTGAAAATCAAGTTTTCAGTTTCTGGGACCCTTTTCCTGTCTGATTCCAAAATATCTACACTGAAAACCACGCAGAAGTGCTTCAGAAAATTCGTTTCACCCATCTAGGTAGTGAAAATATTTCTGGAAATCGCGAGAAAACTGCGATTTTCGAAAAATTATAGCTTCGCAATGGCGGGGCCGGGAGCCGGCTTCTTGGGCTCATCGGAAAGAGCATTTCTTTGTGTTTAACTTTCCTGCCTCAGCTGGCTTCTTCCTTTATGGTGCATTCAGACGACGGACCGAATCCGGATTTGTCGTGGACGTGGACAGCTAATCCGCGGATGGTCCGCCTGCAGGCGCATTCACACGACGGACGGTGTCCTAGGGGAAAACAGCCGGATTACCCTCGACAGCAGATTCGGCGCTCACCTGCTCCCGCTGGCAGCAGACCGGTTTGAGAGTATTCAACATGGATGCCCGCAAGAAGCGAAGCTTGGCTGCGATGTCTGTCGTGTTGTGACAAATGAACGAGTAGTGTTATTCTTTCAGGAGAAAAGGGAGTTGCTAGCAGGATATTCTTTCAACTACATTATTCCCCACTTGTAGAACTTCTAAACGTGTCTCCCACCTTTTTTTTTTAGAAGCGGCACGTCGCCGTTTGCAGAAGTTGGAATATTTCACCACCATGACGGCTAAGAATCTCGCGTGTTAAAAGCGACGGCGGCGACATTTCCCGAACCACCAAAAAGTAATTTCTGCATATTTAATCACCTGAGAACAAAGTCTCCGGAAACTAAGTAAACAATGATCAAGCGTAGATGATGCCGACCACTCATGCAGCTGTCCGCGAGCCATGGAGGACATGCCGCGAGCAGACGAAAAAGTGTACTGGTTGCCACCGACCCCAAGCTATTCCGCTGAAGTACCGGCTCTCCCCCGCCAGAATCCCGATGTGAGAAACAGGTTGGGTTCATCCGTCCGCGAGCCGCGCGGACGAGTCGCGGACGAGGGGAATCGCTGATGTGAGGTCACGTGACGCGCCGTCCGTCCCGCCACATCGGGATTCGGTCCGTCGTCTGAATGCACCATTAAGAACAAGCACACAAAAAGCAAATGTTTGAAGATCGTTTCGAGGCTCTTGATTGGCTGTGGCCGCCATGTTGCCTCAGCTCACCTCGCGATTGGCCCGATGCTTGCTTCGGGAGGTCGTCGTCTGCTGCTTGTGCGTCGCGAGGACATGGCTCTCGAAAATCGCTACTTTGTTACATTTTCACAGCTCGATGATCACTTGGGATATAATTATGCGTTAGTTAGGAGCCGTAAGCGGATGCGCGATCAGGTTACTACGAGCGGGCGCGTCATCGGAGTCGTCCTTAGCTCTAACTCCGCCGACAGTGAGACGGCGGGTAGGAACGACGCGCTAGCACACTCGTGGCGACGTGCTTCTTTGTAAGCAATGAAGCTGTAAGTGGCAGCACGATCAGTTTACTACGAGCCGCCGTACTGGATGCACAATCAGATTACTATGAGCGGGCGCGCGTCCTACGAGCGTGGCGTGTCATCGGAGTCGTCTTTAGCCCTAACTCCGCTGACAGCAAGACTGCGGGCAGGAACGACGTGCTAGCGCACTCTTGGCGACGTGCTTCTTCGCAA